TTTTTATATGTTAGAAAAGAAATTGCATAGTGTATAAATTACAACGATTAAATGTAAGTACATAATGCAAGAAAAATTTAGAAAATAACTTGTCATTTGCAGCAATAGAATTTACCATTTTGAAATTGAGGAGGATTAGCCTCTATATATTAACCAATTGATTTGAGACTACGTTGTTATTATTATTAAAGAGAAAAAAAAGCCTAGCCAATAGATTTGAAAATGAAAATGGCCTTCAAAGGATGCAAAGAGTGTAAATGGGCCAGACCAATGTAATTGCCTTTGATAGTTGGATCTCCTTCCAGCTGCTGGGCTTTGTCTAATCCATCATCTGAAACTATTGGGCTTTGTCTAATCCATCATCTGAAACTATTGGGCTTTGTTCACTCCATATGTTACAGAATTGGGCTCTATTCAGCCCACTAAGTGACACCATACTGAATTTCCAACTTTACCCAATGCTCAACAAAGTTCCTAGGCTTGAATCGTGTAACCGTGTGAGCAGCGGCTGAGATTACAACCACCAATAATTTTATTAAAGTCATCATTTTTTTGTTATAATTTTATTAATTTATAATTTTTAAATAATTAATTATAATATTTAAAAATAAATTAATCTTAATTTATTAAATAATTGTTATTAGTTATTAATCATTTTTAATAATTAAATTTTAAAAAAAATTTACTTATTTTGATAACTTTAACAAAATTATTAATAATCAAAACCATATGCACAAGCAAGTGATATGCCACTTGCCCTCATGAGGTTTTCCCAAGATTTGTTTACTTCTATAACAATTTTTACTAATCAAAATTATTTTTTATTTAAGTGATTTTAAAAATACACTTTAACATTTAACGTCGAGCCTAATACATTTAAATAACTTAATTTTCAGGTGCCACCCAAGAAGAGTTGGCTTGGCTGATCCTTGTCCTCTAATTTTCTTACCAAAATTTAAAGGTGCAAAATCTTTCCCCTTTACGGAAAAAGGTTCACCTAATCCGCTTATCAGCCATCCATTCCTCCCCGCCTTATCCATCCGTGGCCTCTCCTACATATTATTTTCTTCCTTTCCATCATCTTTGTACTCTCTCAATTTCTTGATTGCACAGGTTTCGGGGATTCATAGCTATGGCAACAGCCTCAGCCACACTTTCTTCATCAATATTTGCTGCTGCAACTGTTTCCAATCTCCCAAGGAGAAGAAGCATCAAAGTGCACTACATATCAGGACTCAACTCCTATGATGGGCTTAAAGCTCACAACAGTATCGCTTCATTAGGGAAACCTGTCTGCACCCAGCAGTGCTTTGCAAAGGTTGTCAGCTCACTGAAAGCTCCTTCCAGAGGCAGAGGTGGTGGCGGCGCTCTCTCTTCAAAATGCAGTGTAGCTGGTGAGATCTTCAGGATTGCAGCCATCATGAATGGCCTTGTTCTTGTTGGTGTTGCAGTTGGATTTGTTCTCCTTCGACTCGAGACATTTATTGAGGAATCTGAGTGAGAATTTAGAAACCTAGGTTGCTTTATATTGTCGTCCTTTAGCAATTATGTAATTCTGTTTGATTCTTCCTCGATGCAGAAAACTTCCCTTTTTTTTCCTCACCAGAATCAGTATAAGAAACCAGAAAGTTGTTGTTTCTAAGCAAATGATTGATTTAATAAAATTACTCCTTTTGTCCTATAATAATATTCGTTTTTTTGGATAAACAAGATAGATTTCAAGAACCCGGAAAAAAAAGTAAGGATAAAACAAAGCATCTACCAAACATAAAGGTAAGAAATCTAAAGAAGATCAAGAGCCATATAATGCAAAGTAATTCGAGGATCAGCTCTCTTGAAGCTATCAGCATTTATAGGAACATCTGCGTTTCTGATATGAAGTTGCTCATATTCAGTACACTGTCCCCCGGAAGTGCACTTTCTGGAAAATTTCAGGCAAGTAAATCCGGTGAACGTCAAGATTCCAGCAAGTGTCCAACTGAATTGCAAGTTGGCCAGTGCTCTAGCCCTCAAATCTGCCTCAGCTGACTCACAGGTGACTGCTCCATGGATTCTGCTACTGCTGCCTTCGGCTAACTGTGTAAAGCATCCCTTTGGAACAAGCTCAGGAACCCATAGCATGAACCCCATGTTCATAAACCAGCAGCCTTGGAACGCAACTGAAATTGGAAGAACAAGAGCAGCAGGAAAACTGGTTGGGAAAGAAGTGGCTGCTACAGCAGCCATAAGAGAAACAAGCACTATGAGCTGCAGCAGCCAATGGTAATGACCTTCCAATCCAACATGATCAGTTGAGTGGAAGTGAAGCCAGAAAAGCTCCTGACTGAAAACAGAAGCGGCAAGGACACCTGATACACCATATAAAAGCCCGGAAGAATTGGTTAGTTCAGCAGCAAGAGTAAAGCCTGCAAATGTTGCAAGATGAAGAAACATGGACGCATGTTCAAAATCATCCAGCCTGAAAGCTAAGCGAAGGAAAGGCAAGTCTAGAACTTGCATGAAGATTGCAATCAGTGAAAAGAACAGGATGAAAACGAGCTCCAGATGTTTAAGTACAGAAACAGTGCAATCGAATGGATACCAAAACCTTGCTGTAAATTTTGAAGGGCCTTTAAGGCAGTAGGCCCTGACAGTTTTGATGGTGTGCCATAGGCCAAGGAGTGTAAGTGCCAGGCCTGGAACTAAGTGTTTTACAAATTCCCCCATGAAAACTTCTGCTTTCAGGTGAGGTTCAGCAAGGTTTTGGTCCCAACCAAAGCTTTTAAATAGTTGAAGTAATTCTAACAGGAAATGAAAAGAGAAAAA